GGGTAGCCTTAATATATATATCTATATAGTATGTAAAAACATATTGCTCAGATTGTGAATTGATCACGGTAACACGAAACAAATTGAGGTAAGATATCACAATGCAAATATCGTATGGAATACGTTTGTTATTACTTATTTCTCATCTCTCCTTATCATATCTCATATCTCATATTCATATCTCTCATTACTTATATTTCATCCTCTTCCTTTTCAGATGACAGCTTTTCAATAAAACGATCATCAATGACAAAGTATACAATGTATGGTGTCTTGTTAGAATTTCAATTAATTTGGCACTTATCGATCATCATTCTCTCTTCGGCTCTGTCTTGAACAAATGAACTGCAACGTTCACGAAACGTTGAAACGAAGCGCGCTAATCAGAACACGATCGAAACCTAAGGATTCTCAGATATGATCATCTGGTAGATGTGCCCGTCTAATCATCCTGAAAGTTTAAAACCTAAAATTATTAATTAAAGATGTTTCTGTTCGATATATCGTATTGCGGTTATGCTGTTCCACCATTTCCCAAGCAATTTCCAAATATTTCTACGTCCATTGCCATAATAACTTCTCCAAGCTACCAAACCAATCTCCAGACACCTTCAATCTAATTTTTCCCCCAGCAGTCGCCATCGTTCCCCAATTCTCTAAGGGTCGCAGTTGCCGATCCACGAGGGTCCAGGACATTCGTGATCGATTAATTAAACGGCGAGGCAACGGCGTGTCACTCGAGGGTGCCTAATTAATCGAGCGGTCTCGAACAGCGCAGCTACACCATCTTACCGAGTAAAGTACCGAGCATTGTACCACAGGCAACGGTTAAGGCTAGCCAACAAACGAACGCTTCGTGTCGGTCCAGTCACGGTAGATCCGTGTCAAAGCGTGACGTTGATCGATGGATCATCGATCGAGTGACGCCCCGTTTCCATTCAGCCTCGGCTGGATACGATCGACGGTGACGTAATCGCGGTGAACGAGCGGTCAACGTTTCCCGAATCGAGGAACGCGCGTTTCAAACGCGGTTGATCTCGATTTCGATCGAACTGGCATCAAGGAACGCCTTCGATCGCAATTTCAACGTCCGTTTGTCATCCGGTGTCGAATCATGGTCACTGAATAATTACTCGTTATTTCGGATCTACGGTTCGGAATCAAGGATATGGTAGTTGTAGGGGTTGGTTCACGTCATTTTGCTCTGTCTTGAGGCTTTTGGAGGAGAAAGGAACGGAATTTGAATGAAACTAGTGGAAAGAATCGTAGAAAGTCGTTACACTACGGTTTCAAAGTACGTAACTGGGTTTTTGGTAATTTCTGTTTTTCTTTTTTTACAAATCTTTAATTTTCATTAGGAAATGATATCTAGTATGGATTTTATTGAATTTTGTTCTTTGTAATTGAAAGGTTTCCTGGTGAAAGGATTGCAAGGCAAAATGGAAGTTTTAATTTTAGTTTTTTAGTATCAGGTGTGTTTGAATTGGTGAATGACAAATGGCTCTTAAAGAACTTTGTTCTTCTCACATTTTTAAATAATTAGAGGTCGGCTCGTATCGTTGGCTTCAAAAATCGTTGCGATTATAATATTTGTTAAATTATCTTTTGTAGATCTCATCTAGCAGCGGAAAATTTGTTGCAGTGCAAGATGAATAATTTGTCAGCCATAAGTGTTAAAGTTTACTGGTTACATTTAACTGGAAACGATATAACATTTCAAATTACACGGCATGTTATGTTGCGACTAAAATGACTGATTGATAGTAGATTAGTTAGAAAATTTAATGTATAGTGAATATCAGTAGATGTCCTAATACTTATGACTGGTAGTATATATACATGGTGTCACATGTTGCATAAGTTAGATGCCAACTAAACGAACCACAATCGAGAAACAAAACCAATTCTTATAAAATCTTCATCTTATTAAATGGTCGAATCACATAATTGAGCCAAACCACTGAAAGTATATTTATAATTGATTCGTACGAGAATACAAAAGTAGGGTAGACACAATACCATGGAGTTTAGTCGCACTAACAACTTTGATAGATCAGATTTATAGAGGCGTTTCCATCGTGATATGGTCAGGGTCAAATTGTTCGAACAACCCAATGCGTGTCAATGCCTCGTCTGCAACATTATCACGATCAAATCAGTGTGTTGGAACTTCAATCTCTTATGGGACGCCTGCGTCCCAGTCGTGAGTCAGTCTAATTCAATATCCACATGGAACGCAGATCATTGAATTTCAAGTTCCTATAACTAACTATACATATATATATAATACCTCGACAATGTTTTGTTGCCTGAACAGGATGATAGTGGTTTTACAACCTTCTCTTCAAGGTCCTTCATAGGCAAGACTTTGGCGTTCCACTTTTTTTCTCATTCAGATATCAGATGTCAGATATCTGCGTTAATTTTTATAATAATTTTTGCTTATAAAAATACGGGTAAATATGTGTACGTGCGAAATGTCGATGAAGAAATTTGTATAATTTGCATAGTAGTCAAATACATGTTTGACGCAAGTATATCTCTTGGAATCAAACACTCGCTTATTATAATGACTGATGATAATTTGTACAATGAATTGAAAAAATGCCTCCTGTAAAGTAAACTAAAACAAAGTTCAATTTTATCTATGGATTAAACGGGACGAAATTCGTTTTATTTATAAATCGCACGATACGTCGTACTTGATTGTTAAAACAGCGTCCAATATTTTCTACAATCGTATGGAATGTCGAATTCAATCGTGAAAAGGGATATTATGGCGATTTGAATTCAATGAATTCACCTTGTACAACGTGTTTTCTGCATCTTCGATTGTATTGAAGTACGTGGCCATGTGAACCAAGTTGTAGAGAACGAAACAGGTAAAAATTGGTTGGAATCAAGTTTGGAGAATACGCTAGGTGTGGCAATACTTTTTAGGCAAGGTTAAAAATTCCTTCCTTTCTAACATTTTCGACATGGGACCGTGGGTCGACGTGAAGCAATTTTCGTTTCCTTTCCTGTACACGGTCTTCTGCATTTCTACTCGTCGTTTAAAATACCAAGCTGTTATTTGAAACGATCAGAACGCAAATGGATAAATTTAAATGCGTCGAACAAATTTTCACGTTTAAGATATTCCTGTCGAAATCAAAGGAAGATTAATTCCTACGATCGTTATTTAACATGCAAGGATACTATTATTGTGAAAGGAAGAAATCTTCTGGCAAATAATTTATTGTTTTATACTAAATAAACTAACTATGAGGTGTTATAGATTAAAATAGAGAATAGAATGTTTATTTGTATTTCAGACTCACAGCTGTTACAAAGGAGATTATTGATATCCACTAAATATATCGTACATATGTATAAACGTTCATACATACAACCAATACACGCACATACACATTGCGATATATCAACGTATTTTATAACACCACAACGTATTACGAAATAATAGTGTTTTATAGATAAATGTTATACACAATTGAAGAGTGCTTGTAGAAAACAATTAATTTAATTCCATATCACGGTATTCTTATTGCTACGTAGAACATTTCGCAATGAAAAATCAGAATCTTTCAATTTATGTATTTTCAGTGTTTTCTACGAACACTCTCCAATTACTTAAGAGCATAAGAAAGAAAGTTTCGTCTTTGCAAAATATATAGAAAATTTCAATATTTCATATATATGGCTGTTTTTAAAACTCACATAAAAGCCACTTTTTTACAGGAAAATATGTATTTACTTCAGTAGATAGATCCACTAAAAAGGAAACCATAATCCCTATAACGCGATGGACGAGATACGTTAGAGCGCGATTAGAAACTTGACGTGTATACAACGAGCGAGCTAGTTAAAAATCTAATCGATAAACACCCGGTGACCTAACTTTCGCGCACTGAATAATTAACAGCGTTACAGATATCAGTGTCTTTGATTAAAAAAATCTAAGTCAGCCGTGTATAGCGTCACTATGAACAACGCAGTCAAAGTAAAGGACACTTGGCGACAAGATTTGTCGTCAAACAAAAAGTTTATAATTATAGAGTTATAATCACGCGTATAATATTTCTGTACAAAATCCGATCTTAATTCCTTCGAACTCTAACGTTTGTTAAAGACTAACGCAAAGTTTATAATGACAAAATTCCGTTTATTTCAAAAAACAGAACGAAGAAGATTTTATTTAAACGTGAATCTAAAACTCTTTTAATTTCTATAGAATTAATTGAAGAAATATTTCGATATTTTATTGGAAAAGTATTAGATTCTAACAGTATTTATGTAACACTTAATAAGGAAATCAGTTTTATAATTTAAACAAACGACTCTAAACTGGTCTATCACAAAGAATAAAGTTTAAAATGATAAAAGAAGACGTAGGATTGCTTCAAAAAGATCGAATATGAAACTGTGCTTAAATGCTTCAGTTGTAAAGATTTCTAAGAGACAACGACTGTAAAGGCAAAAATAATTAACAAAAATCTTTGGTCTAATCTGCGTTACGTATCTAACACGTGTCTTGCGCCATCGTGAGACTATTAAACAACTCGTGTATGTTTAGGCTCGAAACGTGTGCGTGATTATGTTGCAAGACTGAAATGGAGCAGCCCACGTGACCTTCTAGTCTGCTTCGATGTCATTCATTTCTACTTAGCGACCTAATTTCTCATTCAGCCGCAACGCAGGAAATTTCATCACAAAACCCAACCAAGATAAATAATAAAATCGTCGAATTTTTATTTAGCACGCGATTTAATATGTCAAAAATACTCCACGCTATGAATAAAGTAATAAGTTCTTATATAGATACCTAAACAATGTAAACCTTCGAATAGGCTAGAGATGGCGAGGTTATGGTATTCGACATGTGGACTTCTGGAGTAATCAATATAGTGTCATATGGCGTAACACACTTAATTTGATATGCAATACGCATTAATTTTACGCTCCTAGGGCTTGATATTCCAATCTAGTACAAGTTACTTTACTAATTAAAAGAACGCATCCAAATAGTTAAAATTAATTTTGTTTAGATACTGAGATACTAAGAGATCTCTGTTCATTTACTTCGCCTAACATTAACTTTGATGTTGTGACATAAAAGTATACATAAGGACGTATAAAAAATATTGGTTAAATAAAGTTCCTGCGTTTCTTCCAAAGTTAAACACTATTGTACCTTTAAATATGGTGGATCTAGATTTAAAAACTATAATTAAATATCTTTGTAATTTTACATCTATGATATTTTAAAGAAAAATATTATTTTGCCATTGCCTGATATTTTGGAAGAAGAGCATTATTGTAAAACTAAAACGTTTTGGATAATGTCTGTTATCCATGTCGGTCTGATTTCATAGCAATCTCAGTTTCGAAAATGTAAGACATTCAATCAACGCATCCTCTTTCAAAATGTACATTGTACGTGCAGGTGGTCTGTGCAAAAAGTCTTGCAACAATTTAAAGGCACTGGCTGCACATGTGCATTCAGTGTCCACACGTGCATAACTTCTTTCGACGTGGATGGCTGCGTTCAAAGCCACATAAGGAACGCACATAACGTACTCGATCCACATGGTGTGTAATTTAGCGACTATTCGCTCGTCTAGGATACCATAAGTGCCGCTGGACGCGAAACATTGCAACTAAAATATAGTTCTACGGCTGGTACCATTGTCAACGACCATCGATAACGTTATGATTGTGTCGTGACAAGTTCGTGAACGTGAACGTGAAAATAGGACAAACAACAAGGCACCTCCAACCTCGAGACAGATGCAATTTTGATTCAATATCTTCCATCTTTACATTTTATCGTTGCTATATACTACATCTTATAACTAAAGGACCATCTAAAAATTTGCAATTTTTCATCCAAAGAAATTTCGGAAATATTCCAAAGTAGAAATAATATTTTCATCTCGTATTTGTGAGATCTGATTTCTTAAAAATTCTTAAATTTAATAACTACGTAACTACGTGCTTCGTAGAAGTTTCTCGCTTAGCATTCCATTATTAAAAATAGAGAAAAAATGATATCTATGACAAAGAAATAGAGAAAGCAAGAGAGCTAACTATACTAATGTAACATACATACATTTATTTATTTATAATCATCTGCAAGAAGTTAAAATGCAACATATATGTATCCGCATATATACATGTATATAATATCTCAAATTTTCACATTATTATCAGTTAAACATTCAAATGTTTACATTGTCTCGTCTCTTTCAGCTAATGAAATACGTTTCGTGCAATCGTAATTAAAAGGAGAAAATAACGAATATTTTTCAGCACGTTGTGGCATTTCTAAAACCTGAATCGCTTAAGAATATTCGATAAAACATTCCTATTTTCTCAGTCTTTTCTTTCCAGAATGCACATAAAAACACACTATATAAAAACATTCCATGTACAGAAATATAGATTCTACGTATTCTCATTGCGGATAAATGATTACGAATATACAATTACGTCTGAGAAGTTCGGAACTATTGTAGTTACGTAGAACGATAACTACGAGAGTGTAATCATCGTCTCGAACATCTGCTGTAAGAAACTTAACGTAGATGGAATGGTTGAACCTGCAGAATTCTCCGAATAGCACTTCAATTTCCCTCGTTTAGTTTCTCTAATTACAAAACGGTTAAAGATAAAATTCACATTTAACACTTATCCACGCGTGTAGATTACTGCTCAGAACAATTTTGAAGTTTGCGTGCTCAGATAGCCTTATCACTAACCAAGACTTCGAATATAACTTAACCAACAATCAAAGAGTTTAGTAAACCAGACAAATCATTATGTACATCTCCTATATTTACTGATGATCTTATCAAAGGAGCTACTTAATGAACACGTGTCGTGAATACGCTACAACAGAAGATCTATATCAGTCTGATCTAAAATCAGTCCAAGGAGTCAAATCCCTCTCCCGTTTTAGTACAAATAGAAGAATCAAATTGCTGAACCATGATTCTAAATCGGATTGTTCTCATCCGCGAGTTGTCTGTTCTAACCGATCGAGCTGTCCACGTTTGGTCATTGTCCGTTCAGACTCTTCCTCTTTAGGTCTGCTCCTTAAGATGGCTGTCATCGGCAGTACCATAAGACAAAGGTTATAGCTAACCACATATAAGAATATACCTAACCGATATGACAACTCCTAGAGACACATATTGATAAAGGCTTTGGTCATTCCATAATGTAAGATATTTCATCTGTAAATCTAACTGATCGATGATCCATATGGAAGAACTAGAGGTTAAAAACTTATAGGATCATGAGCAATGGTAGCCCTCTGATGGCCATTACGAGAACTATCATCACAGACACGAGGTAAATTGCTCAGAAACATGATCGCCTAATTATTATGAGCAGTTTAAAAACAGAAAATAACGATCTAAGAACTTGTACAATACTATCCTTGCGACGTTAGTCCATGAACAAGAACAACGTCAAGTGATTCTTGGAAAATCGAGGATCTGTGCTTATTACTTCTCCCTTTATTTGTTCACTATATGCAAAAACGCTACAGCTTATACAATACAAGTATGCGTATTAATAATAAAATCTAGAACAACATTTTAAAAATCGCTTTCCACTTTAGCGTTCAAAAAACAGCATCTCTGATAAATTAATGTGCAAAACCTGACCACGTTTGTCGATCATATCCCTCCACCGTTGATCATAACCTTTATGTAACCGCACCGTTAGAAGGAGTCAATCCTTCATTTACATTAGATTCCAACATTTAGGGATGCACTGTTTTCCGCTAGTCAAGTGAACGCGTTCAGCCAAATTACAGTGGAAAGAATAGCTGTTGTTCCATAACAAAAAGAAAAATAAGACAGAAAAAAGATAAGATATATTGTTGTAAATGTACCTCGTACAATAGAGGTCTCGCAGCGTATGTCATTCTTTCCTGAATAAACACATTCAGGTTGACACGTTCCAATTCGACAAATAAAGTTATACCTCAATGAACCAAAAAATTTCTTCAAATATTCAATAATCAGCAAGAGATTCATCAAGAGTTCCAATCAATCAAGCTCAATTATCTTTTAGACACGTCGATCGCTTAATTTTCTACAAAGTCTGACCAGTTGATTCGACACGTATCAATAAGTGCTATTTTCACGATGTCTTTTGAGTGATTAGCGCTCGGCGAAAAATAACTAACATTGCGATCAATACAGAAATAGACCTAAAAACTGTAACTCAGGGAATAACATTAAATGAAGAAATATATAGACTCTCTCTCTCTCTCTCTCTCTCTCTCTTTCTCTCTCTCTCTGTCGTGTATCTTCATTCTTCTACAATAATATGTAGTGCTTTATTTACAAAGCTCGTGAAAGATCAGGCTACTGTGCCCTGATCCTGATTAGGGAACAGGTCATCTCCCGCGATAGCCAAAGAGAAACAAAATCAGCCAAAGTATATTCAAACCACCTACTCTGAAATAAAAGAACATCAGGAGATATTACGTGCCCTTTGAACTCTTATGAACGTTATCATCAATGTATCAGACAATTAGTTGTGAATCGAGGATTTGGTAAAAAATGTGTGTAAGGCAGCATTTAGTCAACTCGGAGAGTTTTTCCGCCCGTAGGACCAAGTACTTGTCACATTCGATTCTTCTTAACCACCTATACGTTTCGTTGGTATTTTTGCAGATTATTTCATACATGGAAAAATACACAATTCTACTGGTTTGTACCCTCGTGGAACTTGAAGTAGTGAATCTTCATAGCCCTATTGTTGGGATACTTGATCTTGCATTGAGGACAAGTCGCGTCTACTGCACCCTCCACCACATATTTGGTCAAATCCATCTCTCTGTGGAAGTTCTTGCTATTCTCGGCATTGTAGATAGTGTTGTGTGTCGTCAGCAAGTGATCTGACATTGCTGTCTTGCTGAACACGTGTCTATCGCATAAAGTGCAACTGTAGATAATGCTGTTGTGCGACAATTCATGGTTCTTTACGATTGTTGGCGTTGGGAACGTGAGCTTGCAACCGTCTACAGAACAAGCAAATTTGGGAGGAGCATTTTTATGTTTTATGGTAAAATGTTGGCGCAAATTCGACACGCCAGAAAACTTTTTGTAGCAAATGTTGCACAGGACTTTACCATCATTGCTGGGTAATGGTATACATTCGATATTATATGATTTGGCTAGATTCTGTAACAGATTCATGTGAGTCTTATTGTGTACCAATTGTTTGTGCTTGTACAATACGCTCATATTTGCAAAGAACTTCCTACAGACGTGGCACATAACTGACTTCCTGCCTGCGCTCATGGCATCCATGGGGAGAGGTGCTTTTTTATCCTCTTCTTCTAATTTTATTTTCTTAGATCTTGGCTCTTCTTGAGATAGTCTTCTCGCGTTGTTGTATACATGTTCGGGTTGTTGATTAAACATGTTAGCATGTAGGTTGAGCCTGTGACGGTGAAGCGACCGAGTACTATTGAACACCTTGTGACAGAGGGTGCATATAAGTGGACTACTTGCTAAGTTCTTGCCAGCTGACTGTAGCTTTGCAGCAGCTACAACTGTGGATTTGTGAAGCTTCTTATGTCTTGACAGTATCTTTTTGGAGCTGTATAATTTTCCACAAATATCACAAATGTGATCAGATTTCTTTACATCATCAAGAATGGGTTGAGCTTTGTGCCATTGCATATGTATATCTAATGTCTCCTTGTCAAGGAAAACATTTGTGCAAAGCTCACATTGAAACTCGTCACCTGAAAAGCTCTTCTCAGTTTTATTACGAGCACAGTGCACATCCCATAAGTGTGTTCTCAATTCTGTTACATCATTGAACTTGTCACTGCAAACTTGGCATTGGAAATTACCATTTGGCTTTGTTGGAGGTAAATTTGGGTAAGATTTTCGTGCTCTAGCTGGTCGGGTCATACTGGAATTGAAAGGTTCCTCTTGTTTAGTCTGGGTCAATGGCTTTTGGACATCTTTCTTCATAAATCGTAAACTTAATCTAGAGTTTGCTCGATTGTGCCAGCTCCTGTGTATCTTTAGAGATGATTCTTCCATGAAAATCTTACCGCAAATGTCGCATCCGTGACCACCTAATTCCTGAGCATGGGCAGTTTCAAAGTGAAGATTTAGGTTAGCTTTGAAGAAGAAAGTCTTTCGACATTTAGAACACTGATGTATGGACTTCGCAAGCTTTGGGTGATCAATTGCTAGGTGTCGGTCATGCGACTCTTTACTCTTGAACGTTCGCCGACAGTGGGTGCAGATGATGTTGCCTCTGATAACATTGTGAATATTTCTGATATGCCTCTTAAGATTAGCGCTATTCGAGAATACCTTGCCGCACACGTCGCACTCGTTCTTTTTATCGCCAGGATCCGAGGTGGCGCTGACATTTACTGAATTTGAGTCCTGTGAATCTTCTTGTACCGTACCATACTCCACACAGGAGATGTTTGCATTTCTTTCATTCGGATCTTCTATACCATGATCTTTCATGTGAATTTCCAAAGCACCTGCGCTACTAAACATACTACGACAGATGACACAAGAATAAATCTTCACCTTCAGATGAAGATTTCTGTGTTCCATTAGTTCAGCTCTAGTAGTGAATTCCAAATTACAGAGGGCACAGCTATACTGATTACTGTCTGATAGTTTACCAGCATTTACTTCAGCTTCAAATGTATCCCAATCCTTGATGGGCTTTGAAATATTCTGCGTAGCCTTTACTATATCGTTTTTCAATTCAGAAGTTTCTTCCTTGTTAAGATCATTAGAGTGTTCTTTGTGATGGTTCAAATAATCACTAGGAGATTTGAATTTGCTGCCACATTCAGAACATATGAAATCACTCTTTTTGTGGTCCAACGTTAGATGAGAATGAAACTTTTTGAACACCAAATATGTCATGCCACAATGGACACATCTATAGGATGTTCTGACGTCGGATGATAAACGTTGACACAAGTCTCTATGCTTCAGCATGTTTGGCTTGTACCTGTAAATCATACCACACAGGTCGCATACATGATTGTGCGCAGGATCACCATTTTTGTAAGGGCTGGGTATGTTCAGAGTACGATTTCCTTTAAATGATTTTTTCGGTGACTCCTGTCTCAAAGATGGCAGAGGAGTTACTGGTTTTAATTTAGGAGGAGATCGTGTTGGAGATACGAGCTCCTCATACTGTTTATCTGAATGCTTCGATAGATGAGTAAGCAGCTGCTTTCTGTCCGGCAAAGAACGTAAACACATATTACACGTGAAGCATTTCTGCAAGCCTTGTTTCGGTATAACGAGAGCAATCTTCATTGCACACTCGAACGATGCTCTACAATGTACTTTATACATCGATCGATCCGGAAACTCCGTCAAACACGCGATACACGTGTGCGGTCTTAGATCGGGCATGTGCTGACGAATGTGGAAAAGAGTACTTCTACGATCGCTAAAACTTTGTTCACAAGAGTAACATGAATATGTCTTCAATTGACTTATAATATTTTGCTGCACTTGTGTCAATGGAGCATCCTTCTCCATGCTCATTAATTCATCTTCCAAATCTTCAACAAGCTCTTCCTCATCTTCCAATTCCAATTGATTAACACTACCATTCTGTTTGTCACTATGAAATCTTTCCATATGTTTTGCATAAGAATACTTAGAATGCAAATTAATTTGACAATGTAGACATTTCTGTTTAAAAACACGTGCACCCCTAAAATGGGTATGTGGGCCTCTTCTGACTTTTTTCTTGCTTGCTGATGTGGATGCGTTGGATTTCTGAGTGGAATCAGCTTCCATAATCCTATCCTCTGAGCTTGAAAGGGGATTCAAAACAAGTTCACTACCAGTAACAGATTCAATTTCTATAGTACAATCTGTATCATAATCATCTTGTGGTTCAGATTTTATAGAAATGTCCATATCTTTCGTTAAAGCTGGTTGATCTCCCTCTAAAGCTACTTCATCATCAGGTAATTGCTGATCTTGATCATTATTTTCTATAGGATTATTATTTTCTTCAAGATTAGTGGCTTCCTATAAAATAAACCAACTTTAATGTACCTTTATTTTTTTACAGTTTGTTTTGAAGCATATCATACTTACCAAATCCGAATCATTCGTAGATTCAGAAATAACCTCGACATTGTCCTCACAAAAGTCCAAATCAACAGGTTCATTTTTAATATTTACAACCTATGACACATGACAATAATACATTGATTACAAGTCCATATATTATATTATACTCACAAAATTAATAGAACACGTATATTTACCACAGGATTTGATTGCATGTGTTGTTCCAACCACCGATGCAACTTGTCTTGTGAATGCAAACATGTTTCCTTGTAATTATGCCACTCATTCACATTTTTAATACATTGCGCACATATTTTCTTTGATAATCTATCCGTTACTAAAATCTAAAAAGTACATAAACCCAATAAAAATATAAGCATGTATCAAGCTTCAAACAAAAGTTAGGTTTCTCTAAAGATAATATTACTATAGAAACACGTTTCATTCGATATTTGTCTATCTAACCTTTACCAATAAGAATAAACACCAATGAAATACCCATAATCACCATTGCCAATGCTCCCATCTCAAACATGATCCGTATAGACCTAACCTCAATGTACTCGTTTCAACGCAGTAACAAAACGCGAAGCGTATAAGAGTACGCGAAGAGAAATAAACATTCAGGAAGATGACGGGCACAAAAGTATTAAATAACAATATTTTACGCACGCACCTGAATCGATAGACAAGCTTGTATCTTGCTGGCTAAGGACACCGGAGAGTCGCCCGTTTCGAACACCGACAATTTTGGCTCATCGGTGGATAGGCAGAGTCTACACACATCTTCCACATTCTGCAACTCCACCACCTCGCCCATCGTGGACGTAGATGTTCGTGGCTTTTCTTCACTGAATATCAGGCAGGTGTTCTGCCTGCCAATAATGCGCGCTCCTCAGAAGCAGGTTAGGGACGCAGCGTTTTGTTTGTACGTCGACATTTGAAACTGAGCCCGAGCGGTCCATTTCGATACGTTCCTGCCGTTCAAAGGAAAAATTAGACAACGAGCGCGCACTAGGTAAAAGCATGCCGCTTTTTAACGCGATATTTATTTATTGGCCGAATATTATCACGTTTCGCGTGACAATATGTAGTGACAAATATGTGGAATGTATATTCAGTGATAAAAACCAAATATTTTGATCTGGATAATGAATGTATGATGTCAAATGGTTTCAAAAGTTTTTACAAAAATGATGACGTTACTAAAATAGGAAAACGAGGGCAGTAGTGGTAAATTACAAAGCAATGGTTATATAGTTGGTCGAGTGGTCGTTTATTTTATATATATTATTTGTTAATATACACTTGACATGTAACTGTTTGTCGTTTGTACACGCTGATAAGATACATTGTACATATACTACAGGTAACGTACACGGTTACATTTCGTTTCATTTACCTTCATCATTCGCAACGAATCACTCGGTAACCGCGAATTAACGAAATCAAATATTTTAACCTTTTTTTTAATTTCGAAGTATCAGTAGCAAATTATCATCATGCGGTTATAAAAGTAATACAGTGTATAAAATCCAAAAATTCACAATACAAATTGGGCTGATCTAAAATATCCTGTCGTATATTGGACTATTACATAGAAAAGGTTAGAAATCAGATATGGTTACGTAACTAATGCAACCGTTATCACAAACTACACGATTATACACACACGAGCTTTATTTAATTGCAAAACGAATCGATACAGGATAAAGTTTGAAAACAAAATACAATTATACAAAACTTTCTAAAGAGTTTCATCAATCTAAATGATTATAAAGATTAAAAGACTTATAAATGTGTCTCTACATACACATGTAGCATCGATTGAAAAGTTTCAATCACTCGTACCTGAAAACTACGAGAATATGCTTTCGAACAAAATATTATTGAGCGTTCTTTTCTAAAACGTGTTGTATATATGGCAGCTATGGTATATTTTCGAAAAGCTCTTCTACACGGCGGCCACTCTAAAACCGCAAATCTACTTGGTACATGGTGAGCTTCCACGTGAACATGTCGTTAATTTATCGATAGCACGTTTTGAATACAATTTTATTTTAAATATATTTTTCTCTTTCTTCCCCCCTCCTTTTATTAATACCGTAACGATCATATACAGTGCACAAATTAGAACCATTAAGAGATTCCCTAAATCTATGTATCTCGCGGACCTTTGTCCCAAATCAGCTATTCACATTAATGTACAGTATAGGATTAACCATCGATAAATAAATTTCTATACATGTATCGTCAACAAGAGTTTCCTATTCGGTCTCTTTGAAAAATATCAGCTTTCTATCAATCTACATTTTTTTCGTTTATGCCTCGATAAAGGTACTCTTCTGGTGGAACAGAAACGTTGTTTCGACGTTTTTTGAAATCTCTTTTCAGTAAAAATAAAAAATTATATTTTCGATCTCATTAGTGCGTTTTCTTTCGATTTCTTTCAAATTTGTTCGATCTCGTTTGAGAGTCAATTCGTTCGAACAACAAGCTCTCGTGAACGAATTGTGCAATGTTACGAAAATTCGTCTCGTTTTACGAATGACATCTGCAACGAGGCAACATTTCAACGATTATCTGTTATGAATCATAAGGGACGAATTGTTGAACGCCCACGATAGTTTCGCGCCATTTTTATGGCCAACCAGTTCCGGTCCATGTTCCACCATTCGTCTGAATCTATCGCAGGGAAGTGTGTGCGCAGGATTACTGCGCAATTCAAGTAGTCAGGCAATTGGAATTGAAGCAGGAATTTCGTTGCGACTGCTGACGGACGTAGTCTTGTACATTGAATTTCGTGTCGTCCGGGTCGTTGCTTTTCCTCGCCTTCAAGTCTCTGAAATCAAATAGAAATTCGCTTTTTATCTTATCAGGTGTTCTCCAGCCGCTTAAGTCTGATGAAAACCAGTCACTTGACTTTGTTGTGATTTCGCAACGTTCATGCTTCCAATGCAATGGTAGGATCGAACCATTGAGGAGGATTGCATGTAGAAACGGGATGAATTTCAATATATTTCCACGAATCTAAATCAATTCCAATAAGTTTCACTTTATGGGATTTATCTAGTATTCATAAGAAATGGTGATCTTTTGGTAGTTGCAAAGTATATTGTAGCGTTACTTGGATCACTGTGGAAGCCTAGTCTACACTGGCAGACAATTGTCCGCATTCAATGCGTATACATTTTCCAGGGAAGAATCCGCAGAAAAACATATGTAGTGTTGAAGTGGTTACCACTTCTAAGAAAACCCTACATCTGGTCTTTTTAGTTTTCTCAAGCACTGAAGCCATCGACAGCGCGTAGACAAAAGACTGCGACGAAGTTAGGCCATAATCAGTAGACAGGTGACGTTGGCTTCAGGGTTTTTCAGTTATTGGGTAACACAACTAGCGTGCGGATCTGGACCAGCTCAAATTGTATTCTTACTTATATTACACTTCTATTTAAATATATTTTCTGCCTTACAATTTATCCACGTGTTTTCTCTGTTTACACATCGAATAACCTCAACATGTAGATTGTAGACTACTGTCTACAATTATCTGTCAGTGTAGACTAGGCTTTACTGAGCTCGGAACCGGGATGTTATAATAGAGTTCTACTAAAGTGTTTGAACTCATGTTATATAGGTTCGAATGTACCTCAAAATATGTTTTTCGCTCTCTCTTCTCGATATACTCATGAACTGTCTAACACTATCCAATCAGGTCCGAATTTATTTGCAATATGCTTAATCGTGTTATGATTGCATCACTAAAACCGTTCGTCTGCATTACGCCTTGGTATTTGTACAGTTCTGCCTTAAGATTTAATTTGTTTAAGATTGACAGATGATAGGTTGGTGATGATTAATGAAAATACCTAGCAACGGCCAAGAAGGCTAATTCGACGTTCAGGCCAGTTTTAGCTGAGGTTTCCATAAAGGGAACTTTGTACTCTTGCGCCAATCGTTCTCCGTCTTCCCTCTTCACTACTCGTTCCGTTCCACAGTCAGACTTGTTGCCTAAAATTATTTATTTTAATTTATTAGACTTGGTGAAGTGAACATAATGTTTAATAAGTGGAAATGTTTGTTTAACGTGAGCTAGCCTGATGGAATGGAATTAATAAGTTGACATTGATAGTGATTTTATCTATGTCTAGTCTAGGTTTATGCTTACATCTCGTTAAAAGTAAATCTGCACGCTATCAAACATATCATTTGCTGCAAAGTTGATGTCCTGATCTGACTATAAAATCTATCATGTTCTATTTATCTTATTTTAGAAAAATAAGCTGGTGATCGGTGCTTTCTCATAAATCAGTTCTTGGAGCTGTCGTTTCAATTAGAAGTTTCAGTTGAGATCCATAGTTAGAATACATGTTCCTTATAGAGGTACAGAGCTAGTTTTACTCCCTTGTGATAAAGTTCATGAAAAGCTACCAAATAGATCATTGAAACGTTATTTAACTCTTATATAGAGAACCAAAATGTTGCAGTTATTATTAACAAGTATATAAATTTTAATACAAAACTTTGAAAGTATTTCAACTACTACTATTGATAGTACTAAAAGTACTATTCAAAAATATAAAATTATATCTAAATTTTTATATCTTATATTTATTATCTTATATTTATTATTTTCTATTTTATATCTAAATATTTATATCTAGAACTAAGCGGTTTCGTGATGTTTTCAGTAGGAAGCAAAATGTGTTAAAACAAATATAGAGTTACGGTTAGTTACACACCAAGATTACGGCAAATAATTAAGTAGCCATAAATCTCCTTACTCAATACTAAAATATCCTCGACCGGACTATTTCAATATAAATGGTTTTAAGACAAATATTCCATTCATAAAAATTGAATAACTATTTACAATTTTAGAAAGGAATAATTGAAATTTATTAAAAATTGTTTTAAATATTTGACATTCTTCCATTCAATGTTTTACGACTTATAATATTCATATTCAGATATTGATCATCTGTCAAGACACGACTCAATCAAATCATCCAGTCAAGCTAGCGAACAGTTCTTGATTTTAACGATTCCCTCAACCAACACTCTGCTCTTCCTAGAACGTCTTTCTCGACTTTCTACGAAAGTAAGAAACCTGTCGAAACTATGCAAAAACCAGCTAACGTATCGATCATCTTGGCAACTTTCTCGCAAACGAGACGACAAAAAAAGCAATCGCGGCTCTTTTCCTTTTCTCTGTTTTCCTTCTTTAGTCTCTTCAGACGAATGCAAATAAAGACTAGATAAGAGATATGTTCATTTTAATTTTTGTTGACATCCTTTCTTTTTTTATGTTATACTTTTGCTAAAAGGATAGTTGTAATAACTAAAAGATAACATGGTAAATATTGCACAGTTGAAAAGAAGAATAATTCGTTATATCTAAAAATATGCTCTCTTTATCAGGTCAGGTTTAATGATTTCTAAGGTCAGGTTTAATGACGATAAAATTTGTCTATCCTTTCTTTTTCGATTTTAAAGCAAATATAGTAACTAAGCGGGATCATATGTGGATGTGGACATAAAAAACAAACAAACAAAGTTGTTGTTGTTGTTAGACAAGCTTGTTGGATAATATGAAAACATGCTTGCTTACAGAGGGTTAATAAGATAAGATTATTTGACAGTACATCGAATTTTAAAGTTGTTTCGCTTTTAAAAAGCGAAGGATTTGATTTATGAAGTTTTGTACTATGATCTTCAAATAATAATGGAAGCTCACCCAACAGCATAATGACCACGTCCTCGTTCGCGTGTTCCCGGATTTCGCTCAGCCAGGCTCTGATGTTGTCGTAACTCGTCTTGTTCGTCACATCGTACAGCAATAAAAGAGCTGAAACCAATGATGATCGTTGTGCAACAGGCCGTGATCCTAGTAATTGATAGACACACGCGGAAACAAAAGTTTCCACGTGACGCTGTCCATGTTATTACGTGTCCGTAAAATGCTACAGCTCGTTTGTTCTCCCCTTTTTCATTGGCCAGAGAAATTTACACGCGTCTGTTTCGTCGTTCTTTTATAAACACCGCGTTGTGTCAAACGACGTTTTCACGGCCTGGCAAATTGAGATGCGAGAAAATGAAGTGTGTTTTTATGCGCAAGAAAATGAAGTGCGCCTTTGTACTTGAAAGTCTCTCTGGGAATATTATTCGGTTGGAAGTTTCTGAAACGGTTGCTTTGTTATATGCGATATACGTGCTTTGTTCAATATGATTTTTTCAGAAAAATATCCTTTCGAACGTTCATTTCTTCTTCTTGTGTCTCGGCATTTTAAATATTTATTAAGATAATTTTACTAAAGAATTACAATTTTGCTACAGCACTCGATTTCATGTATCCCCAATTATCACAGCTTATTTATTTGTACGCTCGTACAAAAACTTTTAAAACAAAATCATACATTTCCAGATGCTACCGTAACAACTAAATATGGTTCGAGCATATCCAATTAATCGAATACAAAAACTAGTCAATACGCTTACGGATAAGATTGATTTCTTTTTTGTAGCTCTGCTAATTGTTTCAAGGAATCTTTATACAGAGCTATACGCACTGTTTAAATTATGTTTTAATCGCGGATTTTTTGTAACTCCATTTAGATTTAATTGTATAATATTATGTAGCCATTGCTGTTCTTCTTCTTGCCCTTCCTATTTTTGTTTATTTCTTTTCTTATATATAATTGTATGTATACGTCGGAGATGGAAGGACAGCGGGATTTCCCGTCCGGAATGTTGGGAAAACCCCCAATACCCTAGTCCAGACTCGAAATGACATAGCGGGTCACTAGACGTAGCCACGATCACGGGAGGGACGTGTACCTGCCAGAGGTATGAAATGATTGAGGCTCCCCTTAAAAACAAAGATTGGCCCGAGAAGTGAGGACAGGAATATGTAAGGGATGTTTCATTTGGGTTATGAGGCAGTTAGTTTGTTAGTTAGTCGTTGGAGGAATTACTGATTGAGTTATCGAGAAGTTACCCGAATCGAGTATTACGTTGATACTTGTCCTCCCCTGGATCGTGGATTCGTTATCGAACCTGGATTCGTTGTCACCATCATCCTATCGCCATTACTCATAGCCTCTTGTAGTGCCCACATTTGTACCGATAAATATTAGCCACATCCGCGACGGTAAGGTAAGTCGAACGCCCCAAAATGGCAACCTGACTCCGACATATATATCGGGTTTATACCCGTTCTATTAACCAGTAGATAAATCAATAAATAAATACTTCTCATTCGTGCTCGTCCTACTTAAAATTTTCATCAATTATTTACGCAAGAACTGAAAGTGTTTTTCCATTCGAAAGCTTGTTTTCTCACCAATATACCACGGTGGGTTAAAGCTCACAGGAGGAAAGCTTGGCCGTTCCAGTAATATCTGACGATGGAGACACCATTGTCGAAGTGTCTCCGAGGCGTAATTGTTACCCACGCCTTTGAAACGTCCAACTATTGTCGCGTCTCTACTGAAAGAGGGTTTCTCCGTGCAAACAATGGTCGACCCCCGACGGCGGACAACGCGTTTCCTCCTCCGCTCCTTTACCCTCGAATTCGCTTAAGTAGCTTCCCAAAATTAACGCTCTCCTTGAATTTTGAAACGTTTCATGGCCTGTTTTAACACCACTCTACCCGCTAAACCCTTATTGCTCGAAAATGCGTTCATCGAACTTCATTTTATTTGACTGATAGTGAAATAGTTTGTTGTTAAAATGTTATTGGTGCTTACGGAATAATCTGTATTTTTTATTGTTTTTTTTTATCATTTTTAGATCATGAAAGTTTTATTAAAAATAAGAGACGTCATAAAAGACTTGTGAACAGGATGATAGAGCAGCGAGCAGAGTTATAAGTACTTGTTAAATTGAAACAGAACGCTTTACAGAGAAATCAGAGGCGGACTTTCATCTCGTATTTTCCAGTAAAGAAACCGTATTTCTACATACTTGGAATGCAGTTATATGTAATGTCACATTGTATAACGCAATTTACATAATATCCAGTCAGTTCAGAGTTCTCAGCGTTTTGGCCTTCTACTTAGCCGGTTACGTGAAAAACTTCATCAGCATTTCGATTATCTGGGACACGTTCCTTTTCTCAGCGGTCGTTGGTTTAGCACAAACCTGGCAATTGGCGACAATTCATCGAGGGAAATAAGTCAGTTATTTATTCTTTTTTTTTTTTTTTTTTTTTT